TTTTTTTGGCTCCCTAGCGCAGTCTTAATTAAGCAATGAGAAGTTGGTGCAAAATATATAGAATTCATGTAAAAAAAAGTTGTAGATGACATTCTTTTCAATAAAAAAAACCAAAGAATACTTTCCACACTAACCTACATAATATCCTCTACCACTACAATTCGTTATAATTTTACACGGAATATTTTCCGGTGCATTAAGGTCTTAGATAAGCGAAGAAAAAGTTAGTGCAAAATATATAGAAATTCAGGTCAAGTCTTAATTACTGCTCATCGTATCCTTGTCTTTTGTGTGATTCCCAGAATCATCCTTTTCCTGAATTCACTCATTCTTATAGCAGAAAAAGCTTCATCTCCAAAGGAAACTCAAAATCTAGCCAGTTTTCTCCCTGAAGCAAATAGCTAATTAATAATGTGAGATATTGAAGAGAGGGGATCACATTTTGCTCATAAGACGAAAATACAACAGTCGAACTGAAGAACAAAAACAGCATCTCCGTTTATATAAACAGGATGACTAGATCATCAAAATTGTTAGTGAACTAAGTAACAAATTCCCAAAAGAAAAAAAACATCCAGTGTTGAATCCTATTCTTGCTTAGATGTTGGAAGAGTTCGGGATGCACCTTGGCCACAATATTCATCCATTGATACTATTGGAGTTTGGAAATACATTCCCTGAGAAGTTGCAGGGATAAATATACTCTCGGATGTAGACGATGTGCTATCATTCCTCTGAACTGCTGACTGTAAATACATCTCAGAAGTTAAATGCACTGTATTTGTCGTCTGAGGTGGTAGCGAGTCAGTCTTATAAGATGCAGACATGCACAAACTCCCGGGGGCTTGATGTACAGAAGCCCCCGTCCTCAAACTGATCAAGCCCACATCATCATTCCCATGAGAAGTAGACAGATATATCGTGTCTGGTCCTTGAGATGTTGGAACGACGTTCTCATTCTGTTGAGAAAATAGAGGCATATATATCCTGTCAGAATCTGTTCTATGCATATCATGCCCAAACGACATCATGCACATGCTCTCGTTCCTTAGAGGAATTGGACTCGCACCCTCATCACTGCACGTGAGAGGAATGTATAATCTCTCAGACATGGGAGTGGCAGCAACATTAATGTCCATAGCCTGAATCGGAGGAGAAAATTTGCTAATCCTCGGAGGGGTTAGAGCCATATATGTTCCTTCACCAGACGACATATTTTCTCTCTGCCTAAATGCAAGAGTAGTTTCTCCCAGTCGAGATGTTCGAGGTGGAGGCACGGATGTGGGCACTCTGTCTCTTGCATCCATGGCCGTTTCTGGAGGCATTACTATTGTCGCTTCACGACTTGATAATTCTCTTTCGGCTGTAGATGATATAGAAAGAAATGAGTCAGGGTTTGCCAACTCGTCTTCAGCTGTTGGCAGAAAGGGGAGGGACACATCATGACTTGGTAATTCGTTGGATGGTGGAGGCATAGCTGGTGACATTTCGCAATGCACATCACTCTCATAAGTTGGTGGCCGTGCCATGGCTATTTCTTGACTGCTTATTTCAGTCTCAGATGGAGGAGGACATGGGAATGACACTCTTCGTCCTGGTAATTCCTTCCACTGTTGAACCACTGATTTTATTCGCGTGAAAAATTGTACACCTGCCTTCCCTGTAAATTCGAGATATTTCCTTTTTTTTGCTAAAAGATAGAAATTCTAGCATATAGAGGCTGGGTCGAGGAGGAGATGGATTAAAAATATACGATGAAAGGACTTGAAGAAAATGCGTACCACAAAAATTAAGATCACTGGCAAAAGAAGCCTCGGAACCGTTAAACATGGAAAATGGCAATGAATGCGGAACAGGAACATTTATGCCGAGCTACATAGGCCCAACATATCAAACTTAGCAGAGATGAATCATCAACAATAATCTTGGAGCTACATGCCATATGAAAATGTTTGGATTACCGGGCCCTTTTCAACTTCATTTTGAAACTTCCGAGCGTAAACAGTTGATGAAGTGAATATGGAAGCTCCATTTCCATGCCTATAACAAATGGAAACCAAGTATTTTCACGGGGAGAAAATAAATAAATAAATAAAATTAACCAAGGCCTGATTACGGGCAAGATAAATGAGCTCTTTACATTTTTTAAACAAAATAAGCAGGATCTACAATAAAGCTGACGCAGCTCAGTATAGACTATAGAGAATACAAGAATATAGAGAAAAAGAGGGAGAAGTAATACCAATACTAAAGAAAAAATCTTACACGTACTTAAAGAGTTTGTTTACCATCTCATCTCAAAACTTAAAGTTGTTAAGAGAGGGGCCACATGTATTCATCTAAACCATCTCTTCAACATGCCCCCAAACAAACCAGATTCATTTTTTGATCAAAGGTCAGACACGAGCACAATTTTCATAAATAGGTGACAGTAAGACTTGAACCTAAGTATTTTGCTAGGCTCTAATTCCATGTTAATCATCTCATCTAAAAGCTTAAATTGTTATAGAAATGTTGCATGTATTCTTTTATATGTTGCCTTCAGCATACTTAAAATTTCCAGCAAAGAAAAGCTATTGAACCAACAGAGTAGGAAATTACATAATTTAAAACTTGTAACTATGGAAATCAAAATACCATCCATTATATTTCTGCCTAAAGTTGATGCTATAATGGCAAGTCTTCCATGAATATCCCTAAGCATCTCCATCGAAAGCAAATTTCCACGAACTCCAAGATTAAGTCTTTCTTTTGAGCTTCAGGGTCAGCTACCACAGGACTCATATTTTTACGTGTCAACTTGTGTAGAGAACAGGGAAAGGGGAGGAAGACTGAAAGTGTAATGTTTATCAAGAGCCCTCATTAAACAAGTCATATTTCAACATCCCAAAACATAAAAGGAACCCATCAGATAATGTTCTGGAACCCTTGATGACAAATAAAAAGCAGAAAGTAAAAGCTTACTTGCTTCTATTAACAATGGCTACAGCTTCTTCTAAGCTTTCAGCCTGGTAGTAGTCAAAAATAGATTATACATTAACCAACCCTGCTAAAGGATTAATAAAATCGTAACTAAGAATTGGTCATCAAAAAAAATAATAAAAAAAAATAGGACACCTGCATACAAAGAAGAACGGGCCCAAGCATGTCTTCCTGCTAAGCCAAAACAAGAAGACCGTCAAGAATTTTTAAATCCATTGATCCAAATCATCTATCGCCAATTTTTCTTTTCTTTATTTGTGTTGAAAACATAAAAATTAAAGGATGTAAAAGATTACCTTGTAGCAATCCATGTTGGCCGTAACATTACACATGATAGTAGGACCCACAAAATTTCCGTTCTCATACCACGGTACCTATAGAAGCAGGTCCAGTAGAGAACATTTGTAAGGCTTCATAAAGCAGGGCCTTTCTACTTGATTCATTCATATCTAGATATGTAACTGTCCAGATATTTTAATTGCTCAACACAAGAGGAAGTAACCTCAAAGCACATTATGATGCATTAAAGATAAACATAGTTGAAATTCCGTGTAAAATAGTAGGATCAGAGAACATATATAATTCAAATTTGACCTTTAGTCCCTTACAACCTCCCCCCTCCCGCTTAAAAAATAAAAATAGTTAAATTCTGAATGTCTAATTTATAATTCAATTTTGTAGAAATTCATCCAGGGGGATGTATTCAGGGTGTGGTTGAGCCACATTATTTTGGAAGAATGTATTGATGGAGAATGTGTGGTTAAAAAAGAATGAAAAGTTATTGATGTGATGAAAAATATTATTTTATTGAAAAATGTGAGGTTGAAAATAAGTAGAAGAATGAAAATGAAAATTTTAATGTAGCTCAAACATGGTCTCGATTTAGAATTTCAAAAATACTATTAATTGACATTTTTAAGTGACTGACTTTTTGTGGAGTTCATGATTGTTTGTTGAATTTTGTAGATTTTACAGAATTACGAAAGACTTTCACAAACTTTTATAGACTTCTATTAATAAAGATTGACATAGATTTTTATGAACTTTTATACACTTTTAGATAGACTTTAGTTAAAAGACTTTAATAGAATTTCATTGAAATATATTGTATATAATCATCAAAGTATCGCACTATATAGAATTAAAGCAAGTGAAATAATTGAAATCATATCATAACTTTATAAAAAAAAATAAAAAATGGCACCCATACTCCTCACAATAAAAAGTAAACATAACTCCAACAATCAACCCATGCAATAATTAATGGTTCAATAAAAAAAGGAAAAAAACCACCTTTGTGATAAAAATAAATAATACATTGATAAAAGATTAATCTTTATCATTACCTAAACCTATTGAAATTCATAAATAAACTAACAATCAACCATTATATAAGAATTTAGTCACAAATTTGTCTTTGTTTTAACGAAAAAGGGAAACAATTAAAAAGAGAGAAAAAAATGGTTAGGAGAATATGTAGAGAGAAAATCACATAGAAGAGAAAAATATTAATCTTCTTTTTCACTAAAAAAAAAAAAGTTAGTAATTGATACTAGCTAGATTCACAAAGGAAAATGGAAAGGGCAAATATTGAAGAAAGAAGGACATTTTTTTTTTTAAAAGCCTTTCAAGGTCAGTATGTAGAGAATCTAAAAACTTTCGATGGGAGACATACCGTTCGGGTTTTTTATTTATTCTTTGTGCTTAAAATTTAGTACGTAGAGAATCTTATAAAAAGTCATTGATATTTTGAATACCCTTAAGTTTCATAGGATTTCAGAAAGTCTAAATTTAACAACCAATAACCTTTAAAGACTTTTTAGAAGTCTACTAAATACCCCAACAAATTTATAGAGTTTAGAAAGTCTTAATTTAATACATTCAGACTTTTTAGCTCCATAAAAGTCTATATTAAATTTAAAGAATTTTGTGAAGACCTAATTCTATAAAAGTTGCAATGTATTCAATATAAACTTCGATAAAATTTTATACCGCCTTTAAAAGTTATAGGATATTCAGTCTAAACCTTTTAAAATCCAACATAAGTCTGGTATTCAAAATGTCAATAGTTTTTATAAATTCTCCCTGTCTTAACTTTTAAGCACAAGTTATGAATAAAGCCCACACAATTTGTCCCTACTCACCCCTAAGACTCTGGATGACTTTCGGAAAAACACGTCTTTTAATATGTGATTTTTGTTCCGTTAAAATTTGAGTTTCCATCTTAAAAAGTCAACCTTATTAAAAGGAGTAGCTCAAACTCTTATAAATTGGTATGTGTTTTCATCTTTATCCGATGTGGGATTTTATCCCTTAACATGCCCCCGCAAAATGATGGCTCGTTTGAGCAGACCAATCTTGAAATTCGTATGCTCAATTTTTTTTAGTCTTAATCGGATCGAATCGCTCGTTGGAGCTTAATGGGTTCTGATACCATGTTAAAATTCGAGGTTCCATCTTAAAAGATCAACCTTATTAAGAGGAATAGCCCAAACTCTTATAAATTGGTTTATGGTTATATCTTTATTCGATGTGAGATTTTATTCCTTAACATGTTCTTTCGTCAACATTTTTTCCCCTTCTAAGAACTCTACTGCCATGACTAAATTTCAAAATTTTTATGAAAGAAAAAAATTTAATGTCTCTCACTCTTTGACGTGATTTTTCTATTATTTTTCACGCTTTCCCCTTTTTCACGAAAAAGAAGATAAATTTGTAATTAAATTCTTATATAATGGTCGATTATTAGTTTATTAATGATTTTCAACATGTTTAGGTCATATAATTAGGAATCTTTTAACACAGATTTTTTTATTTTTATTTTTCTATGATGGTAACCACCCCCCAACCACCCCCCCCCCTCCCCCCCCTTCTCTCTTTTTGTTGCATGGTTCAATTGTGGGAAAGTTATTCTTTCCTTTATCATGATGAGCATGGATGTTTTTTTCCCGCAAAGTTGTTTTGATAACTATAATGATTTCAATTGTTGCTTTTAATACACCCCCCTTAGGGAATTGCAAGACCAGCAGGAAGATGTACTTGGGACAGAGTGAATACATCAAGTTCTTCCAAGATTTTAAGGACCAAGATATAATGAATTTGTGCAGTAATATATAAACCTCGCAATTGACCGAAACAGAGACGCAAAAAAATGAAATTATATCTGTTCCATTTCTTATAATTTAGTGCGCAGTTGTGGTAGGGTGTGTTTTTTTTCCTTCAGAAGGGATCTTTGATGAGATGGACTCAATAAAATATAACAAGTATTTTTTTCAATTGAACAATCTTCAGAGAGACATCTTCTACACTTGGTTTAACTCTGTAGCTGGTAAATCCAAATTTTACAACAATTAGATTACCCTTCACAATTGTTACTACGGATACATCTCTCCATTAGAATGAGTGCATTTTCTATCAAGAGATTAATATAGAGCCCGTTTAAGCCCCATTTTTTTGCCCAAAATGCATTTTGGAATAGGATTTTGATGGAAAATGTATGGTTAAAAAATAAGGAAAAGTTTAGGATTTACGTGTAATATTATTTTATTGAAGAATGTGTAGTTGAAAATAAGAGTGACGAAATTTATTTTGAAAATAATGGGGACCAAACAAGGGCATAGTTAATATCAGCATATTAGAATACATAGGTCACCCAAGAGGCAACGCCAATCAAAATACTTTGCAATTGTAAGATATTCTCAGTAACCCTTAAGAGTATTTTACAAAGAAATAGTCTGCAAATGCAACAAATAGGTATTCAAAAGAGAAGTAAAGCATACCACCACACGTCTCCCATCAAGAATAAGTCTAGCACCACTTTCTACACCATTTTGAATTAATCTGCATATTCGATTCTTTGCCTGCATAGTTCAAATAAACAAACCAAAGTACAGAGAGAATGGAATAAAAATCAAGAGCAACAAAGATAACAAATTANATCCCCCAATGAATTAATGTGCCAACTCATCAGTGCTTAGGATAAGATGAGCACCGGTGCTCATTAGATCATTTCTGTATATATATATATATATATAATCATTGAAAGTAATGAGGTCAAGTAAACATATTTTTTCCATGTCAAATATAAACAAAGTATGCACACAATGCCCAATTGTATTCATAAAGAAGTAATGAAAGTTAATTAAGCATCACAAAACCAACAAGACTCGCGCATCTTACTTCACCAAACTATAAAAAATGATAATACTTGAAGTTGGGTGGGATTTATGCAGTAAAAAAAGATTAAATTAACATGAAGGGAAGATGGCAAAGACAGGTCATAGTGAGCATCCTGAAGCTGCCTCGGCTAAATGTCAAACACATGGACAAACAGCTAAGTTCTAATCTGTCACAAATTAGGCCAAGCTCTAATCAGTCACAAATAAAGCTAGCAAGTGTTGCAGCACATCATCTTAATTAGCTTTCAATCTAGAAGAGGTGGAGTTCCAGACATGTAAACAGTAGCAACACACATAACAAATTACATATACAAAACCTTCCTCTTTTGAAGAAAGGGAAAAAAAAATAATCATAGAAAGTAATGCGATCGAGTAAACATATTTGTCCCATGTCAAAATGTAAACAAGTTTGCATACCACCCAATTGTATTCATAGAAAAGTAATGAAAGTTAATTAAGCATCACAAAACCAACAGGACTTGCACATCTTACTTCACCAAACTATAAAAAATGATAATACTAGGAGTTGTGTGGGATTTATGCAGTAAAAAAAGATTAAGCTAACAAACAGGGAAAGTGCCAAAAACAGGTCATAGTGAGAGCATCCTGGAGCTGCCTCGACTAAATGCCAAACACATGGACAACAGCTAAGTTCTAATCTCTCACAAAGTAAGCTAGCACGTATTGCAGCACATCATTTTAGCTAATTTCCAATCCAGAAGAGGTGGAGTTCTAGACATTGAAACAGTAGCTCCATAGAGCAATTTCGATATCAGAGTCCAGTCTACTAACCCATTCAACATAAGGTGCGGCATTACTAACCCAAAATATTTGCACCATTTTCCCAAAGGTAAAGATATTTTCATTTAAGGCCAACAAGGAGACACTGCTCAGTGAAACAAAATGATAATACCAGTTAATTATTTCTGGACAAAATCCAATCATTAAAAACTACAACGATACAGCCAGTCTATACTACTGTATATCCCATCCAGTAATTCAACAGAAGATGTACGACAATGAGGTGCATATACATTGTAGAAGAAGCATTTAAATCTCCATATTCCCACTAAGCATCAGAACCAGAAAATTCAAATGATTTCTAACCATCCATTATCAAACAGGTTCTAAATTCTCAGAGGTCTAAGCCCAGGCATAAATAATTGTTCGCAGCTGGACCAGGCTAAAGAGATAGTCACGCTTCCAGTTACTACTCAAGTCTGACTACAATTAAAAATAGCCCCAACATAGGTGTTATAAGTGCTTATACCAGCGACCAACTAGAAGCATATGCAGAACTCACCCATCAGATCCTTGGTTACATGCAAAGCAGAGTTGGATAAAAACACTTCTGCTGTGCTTTGATACCACATTGCAATACACAGGATATACCACTAACCAAGACAGAATGAGTTTAAACAAGGTAAGAATCAGAAAAAGATAAGCCATATTTCAAAAATACATGGACAGAGAAAAATCCCAGCAAACACTGTTGAGACCAGGCCTCAAAAATCTACAAGATGGCACAATATGACGTCATTTTTCTAACATAGCATACTAACAGGGTTATAAATTATATAGTGTGTCAGACCTCTTTACTAATAACCGGTCCAATGTCAACTCCAGCTTCAGTTCCAGCATTAACTTTAAGGGTTTTGGCACGCTCCACAAGCTCATGTTCCCTGAAAATAATATCAAGTTGGGTCACTTTCTGAAAGACATTTAATGTACACTGTGCATTCAATGAGAATTATGCTTTATGCTTTTACTGCATTTACAATATCAAGTACTGGACTATTAACAACTAAATGTCCGTAAAATGAAACTAGGACGTACTAGAATAAGAAATCATGCTGTATGTCAATAAATATAGGTGACACTAGAGGCTAAATAAAGTGAAGAACATGGTTATGACATGTCTTAGTAGACCTCAAGAATCTCCAATATACAACTACGCAATCCCACTAAAGCAGGTTAGAAGAGGGCTTCACAAGGATGTAATAAATAGCATTAGAGGGGTTGGGTGAAAAAGAGACGTGATAAACGAATTTTACTTGATGAAATTATAATGCAAGTTCCTCGAAATAGTTGTTGGATCAGCTATACTTAATGGTATTGGGAGCTGAGCCTTTAAAAGACAAATTGTTCACAAGGTGAACGTTGTGTAAATATGTTAAAATGGATAAGTTGCCTTAGTAGAATATGGGTAAAGAAGAAATGAAAATTTACACCAAATTAGTTGTAACAACCTGGGTCTCTCATTTTTTTGTAATGACACGGTTCTCTATACCCAAGTAATTAACTTACGTACTATCCGCTTTGGGTGGGCATCTGTTACCCCCTCACGGATTTTTATCGCGTCTCCCAGAATTCGAACTCAAGACTTCTGTCTAATGAGATATTTAAATTAAATCCTAATATCAATTGAATTTTACTTATGAGTTTTTTTTTTTTTTAATGATTCAGGTCTCTATACCCAAGCCGTTAACTTACGTACTGTCCGCTGTAAGTGGACATATGCCCACTTATCCCATCATAGCTTTATATTGCATCCCCTAGGTTTCAAACTTAAGATCTCTGCCTAATGAGAGATTTAAATTGAATCTTGGTACCAATTGGACAAGTTGCCCAATTGGTACCAGTGTTTTTGTAACGACCCGTGTCTCTATACCCAATCCGTTAACTTACGTACTATCCGTTTTAGGTGAATCTATGCCCACTTACCTCTCACAACTTTCTGTCTCAACCAATTGGTACCAGGATTCAATTTAAGTCTCTCATTAGGTAGAGATCTTGAGTTCGAATCCTGAGAGACACGATAGCGCATTTCTTTTGTAATGACATTGGTCTTTATATACAAACAGTTAGCTTGCATACTGTCCGTTTTGGGTGAGCCTATGCTCACTACCTCCTCACGGCTTTCTATTGCGTCCCACATAATTCGAACTCAAGACCTCTACCTAATGAGAGACTTAAGTTATCCAATTGGTATCAGGATTCAACTTAAGTCTTCCATTAGGCATAGGTCTTCAGTTCGAATTCTAGGGGACACTATAGAAAGGCTTGAAGAGATAAGTGGGCATGAACCCACCCAAAGTGAACAGTACGCAAGCTAACGACTTGGGTATAGAGACCCAAATCTTTACAAAAGTAGAGCAAGATGCTGGAGATCATGAAAAACCACAATCCTAATGCTTTTAAATTTAAGGTCCCTTTATTTACAAAGATGGAAATGTTGTAGAAAATATCATCCAAGGATTAAAAGTCTACTAATAGGATTTTGACAAGCTTTTACGAGTATTAGGAACATATATATAAGACTTAAAATACTAACAATTTTGGATAGAACCAAATGTGAGCAATAAATAAACATTTAGATAAATACAAGTTGAGATAAGAATGTTTAAAGATGCAAGTAAAACAATAAGAGATGATAAAGTATTATAACATTCATAAGTTAGTTATAATAGATTGGGAAATAGTAAATCAAAGGGAAGAGGTCAACCTAAAATCATATGGAACAATGTCATTGAAGATAATAGTAAATATTTGTGGTTATGCCAGGTTTCAAGCAAACAAATGGTTGGAAGCACTTTAACTCAAGCAGAATGAGTCTATCGCTAGACATAACGGGGAGGAAGAAAAGGACTCATTTAGCCAACAATAGATAAATATGGGATAAGGCCCGGTTCAATTATTTTGAGTATTTAAAATCATACTTAAGTATGGAATATTGATGTTTTATGCTAAAGAAGAATTACGACTAAAAGAGTCAACTTTCTCTTTCTATATCTTAATTATTTATCTTCATTTCACTCATGCTCTCTCCACTTGCTCCTTTCATCTCGGTTCTCTCTCCTTCAAATCCCATAGTTGTGCTAAGTAAAGAAAGATGTTAGAAATTATTGTGATAAAAGATTTTTTTTTTTTTTTAATTTCTTTAAGCACGTGTTTGGTACAACTTAAAAATTATATTAAAATCTAACTGAAAGTTAACAATTAGTTTTAACCAAACATTTTATGGAACCCACAACATTTCAACCACATATTCCATCAACTTTTATCAAAATTTACTAAAAATCTGATTTTTATCTAATCCGAAGAGGGGCTATATTTAGTTCTCTTCTAATTAGGAGTCTGTTTGTTTCCGATTAAAATCCAATTAAAATTGAAAATATGGCCGTTATTGGGTCTCACCCGTCTAATAAAAGTCAACAATAACAGCTAGTTTTTCAATTTTAATCCGATTTTAATCTCTACCAAACACGTCCTAGAAATTTTCTCTCCTTGATTATAAAAATATAATTAATCAGTTTCGTTGTATAAATAGCCTAGTCAACTCTCACACTATATATTTCTTCATCGCAGCCTTCATTGTTGGTTCATCCTTCTCCCTATGAATTTTTTTGCTTCTACCACTAGTCATGTCAGAAATCTCACACAATTCAGGTTCTATTTCTTCTTCAAACTCAACCATAATCATCACCAGTTTTAAAAACTCCACACTCCAGAATATTATAAGAATTCAATGAATAAAACTGTGAATTTGAGATGTGGGATGAAGAGAATTCAAGGGTCTTGTGGTGGCTGTTGAACTCCATGAAACCAGATGGGAAGCCATTTCTTTATCTCTCATTGGTTAAAAAGGTAAGGGAGGATGTTTCAAGGACCTACTCTAAGAAACAGAATGCTGCTCTTATATATGAATTAAGATGGCAATCCACAATACAAAGCAACATTATCAGGCCTTGACAATCTACTATAACATGATGGTTTCATAGCAGGAGCTAGGTCTTCTTTAATATTCAGAGATGGTGGCCCCTGGACAATGTATTATCTTACACAAGTGACAAGGATAGCAAGGGGACTAAAACTCTCAATTAGTTTAGACCTCGAAGATGAAGACTCGAAGAACTTTCGGAAGTTTTGGGCAGCAAAAGAGTCTAGGAGAAAGGGATGCTACTGCGAACACTGCCAGAAGTTGCGATATACAAAGGAGATTTGTTGGAAACTGATGGGAGGCAAAACATCCTTGAAGTAAGCCCCCCCAAGGGATGGTTGTAGATAACCCTGAACTTGAGACATCTCAATCCTCAGAATAAACCCCCTTCACTAATGGTCAACTTGAGCTATTGAACTTGGTGTTAGGTCAATCTGGGTCTTCTTCCCATTTGCCAATTGATATTTATTTGCTTTGCAAGTATTTAAAAACATTCCAGCAAAATCCTAGATCAATGATTCAGAGGCCTCTAGTCATGGGATAAATGAGCTGAAGTGTTTCTAGTCACAGATTTGATTTTAATTCGTTATATTTAGTTTAGTCACAGCGGTTGGAAATATTCTCTCATCCACTGTAGAAACATAAGAAGCTAGTTTCCTTGCTCAGATACACTAGTCAACTCTCACCCAACAGTTTCAATTAGCTCTCTGAGCTATCCTTGCTCAGATACACTAGTCATAGCAATTGAAAATATTTTTTCATTGATGGTAGAACTATAATTAGCTAGTTTCCTTGCTAAGATATGGTAGCAAACTCTCTCACTACAATTTCAATTCTGAAAACCTATAAAAGTAAATATAAGTGGTATCAAGCAGGAATCTAAGTCACACCATGGGGCCGAGCCTCCGACGAAAACAACTATGCTTGGACTCGTGCAATTCTGGAATTTCGAAGCTCCAAAACCAGAAGCAACCAGAGCATCCAATGTAGCATCAGCACTTGCATCAGGCATGATTATCACATGATTTTTTACTCCCATGTTAGACTAGTAAATAAGCAGAAGGGAAAGAAAAACAACAAAACTCGTGAGAACAAAATTATCATAATCAGTTAAGTCAAGCAAAGGCGGAATCCTTTATAGATAAATAGAATACTCACTTGAATACGTTTACCTTTGGCAGCAGCCCTAGCATATATGTGCATTCGAGCCTTCAAATCAAGTGAAAAAATATAAGAAATTATTTTAGATGCATATTCTTTAGTGAAATGCTTAGAGAGAACATAAAGTAACAAAATAATCAATCAATAAGCACAAAAACTCAAATATTTATATACATAGAAAAATGTAAGACTTTTGAGGCATATAAAGTAACTGTATACATTGGGGCTTGTCATTAATTAACATGAGAAAAAGATGCATCATGAAAACCAAAATGAGCATCCAGTTGTATAGAGGTTTGTGTCTGAAAGAGTGTAACCAAAAGCATAATTTGGACTACTGAGAAAGAACAACTTACAATATTTGAGCTAACAGATGATATGGCTTTTATATCATCATCATCGCATATATTATTGACAATCTCCTGCAAATAGACACAATCTTAATTAGAACTTAAACAATGAACCACTACCGGAAACAATCACTATTAATGTAGGAAGATCAATAAAAGAATTGTGCAATCAATATTCTAAGTAAACAAAGCATTCATCGGTTTTGGACGACAGAATAAAGAAAACAATACTTGTCAGGTGCAAAGAGGGATGTTCATCAATAAAGAGGTTGTCACACTGGTATTAGAACCTCTTATAATCATTCTATAGTCGTACTTACCTTTCCCAAGAGAACAATAATAATAACTTGTGAAGAGCAAATGTGCATAAATACAAATCTGGCAGTGTCTTAAAGTACACCAAACTATAGGTGAAGATTGAAAAAGAAAAGATAAATTAGATCCTATAAACTCCCTAGGGTCATTCACTGGGATGTAGTAATAAATGCTTCTTCGAGGCAAAGGCTTACATGATTGCCATGAATGATATTCAAAACACCATCCGGTAAACCAGCTTCAGCTGCCAATGCAGCAATCATTATTGCAGCCCCTGAAAGAACACAAATGCCTACAATGAAAAGCTCATACTGCAAAATTTAGTGCCAAAAAGCATTCACGTGGTATGCCTTGTCAGTACTGGTGATATATAAAACAAGTCTTCCAGTAAAAAAAGATAAGAAGAAATTTCATAGGATTCCATAAAAAGTAAGGAGTTAAATTCAAAGAGTAGACATTCATCATAGGAAAAATCATCTGAGTACTGAATAATGAATAATCTGGAAAATGTGTCAGATGCCCTGACAGATTTTGGCAGTCAATCTATAGAATTACCCCCACTCTATCATTGATTTGAGATTTGAAGTATATGCCTACCCATTAAGCTAATAAAAATATAGTTAAATTTCAAAAATCATCATGACTTATTGCTCCTCTAATCTATATTGAATGTCTCAATCCCCATTTTCCATATGGATAAATAATGTCTGTCGTCCAAATTAAATCTTTGCACAGTATGTTTTCCACACCTTTGCTACACGGTGTTTGTGTCACGTGCAGGTTCATGCTCTACTGCCAGACTCGCATAATCCTTAATTTTTTCAGAATAGGGACATGACCCAAGAGTGTAACACCCCGAAAATTTAGAATAAAATTATTTGTTTTATAAATTTTATTTTATGATTTTTGAAAGTTGAGGGACTAAAATAAAGTATCTTTTAAATTCTTATGTTTTAAATGGGCCAAATATTTAACTTTTTATAGAGTGATCAAAAGTATATCAACATTGGGCTCATTTTGTA